TTACATGTACTATTTCCATTAGTGTTGCGTTAACTAAGTAGATATTGAAGAGAGATATATTCTATTAAAAATCTTCTTGAAGGTGTGCAAAAACATTAAAAGAGCTGAAGAAGGAGGAGAAGAGAAGAAGAAGAAAACGAAGGAGGAGAAAGAGGCCTGAAATTATTTAAAAAGTGGGTACAAATTAAAACTTTTTTAAAAAGTGGGTATAGGTTAAATGGAGGCGACCAAATAGGGCACCCGTGCAATTTTTACGAGGAGTAAGAGGGTGTTTTTCTAAGCTTATAAGCTGGTCAAACTAGCTTATAAATACTTTTCGGCTTATCTACGCGTTTGGTAAAGTTAAAAGTGCTTATAAGTCAAAAATAAGCTAAAAGCCATAAGCTAGTCACCCCCAGCTTATGAATTTTTAGCTTATAAGCACTTTAAGTTTGTCCAAGATTTTTACTATTTTATCCTTAAAATATTCTTTTTTAGAACAAAACTCTTACATCAATAATCACTACCTCAAGTTGTTTCACCCCCCCCCCCCCCCCCCCCCCGCCTCTTCAAGTCTGCAATTCTTATTGACTCTTTAAGATAAGCAAATTCTCTATTCCTTTGCATATTTGTATCTATGTGAATGTGTATTAATTTTTGAACTGTATGTAATAAATGAGGACATACCAAATTTTTGGTGCAATTGCTGCTAAGTGTTGTGTTGATGAAGACGATGTTTATTTCTCTTCAAATATTTATTTAGGCGTTTATTTTTTACTTAGAAACTTTTGCAATTTATTAATTATTATAACTTATGATTATATGGTTATCGTAAAATAAATTTTATTTATCATAAAAGTTTTTTTTATCTAAGCACAGTTGTATTTAAAATAAAATGACAAATAAAATATTTTGTATTTGAATAGATCTGGAATCTAAAATTTTGAAGAAATTATGTCATTATAAGTGTAAACAACTCTAAGGTTATTTAAGTCGTTTTAACAGAAAAAGAGCTTATCAGCACTTTCTTTCAAATACTGTAGCAACTTATTATCAATTTCAGCACTTGTATCTAAACACGTAACTGTATATTTATAAAATCAGTTTCAGCACTTAACTGTGCTTTTCAACACCTAATACTTCAAATCAGCTACTTCAAATCAGCTAATCCAAACAGGCTCTAAATTGTATTTCGCTATTTATGCTAGTAACTGATAAAACACCGCAAAAGAGAATAGCGGCTAAAAGTAAAATATGTTTTCTCTAATGAAACATGCGACATCCATCGTTTCTATTTGTTTAAAATATTTGATTGATCGATACTCTTGCTCCATTTAAAAAACTTGATCAGCTTAACTTACTTTTTAAATTAATTTTAAATCTATTAAACAAATCGTAAAAGATAATACTATGAGTTAAAAACGAATTCTATCAAAATGGTAATTTATAAAAAGTATGTTAGGGGTAATTAAGATTTACTGTAATAAAATAATGATGAGAAGAGCCTTGGAGCAACAAAATCAAATTGTTTCCGTGTGACCTATAGGTTACGGGTTCGGGTTCCCCAACAGTCATTTCTGAATTTGACCGTTGACAGCGGTCCAAAAAATTATTCAAATAAATGAATAAAAAAATAAAAATAAAAATTTGTAACGGATACCGGGCTGCAGCCCGTTAACGGCTTAGCGGTTCCGGTGCACCGGTATCCAAAATGTGTTCGTCTAACCCCCCCCCCCCAACCCGCCCCACGCCCGCCCCTAAATGCTACATTAACGTGCTGACCTGGGCCGAAGCGGGTTGAAAATAGGTCAGCCCGGCCTGATTAACAGACTTAGGTTAGAGTAATGACTATGTAAATTAGATTCTCAAAGTAGCCCACTTTCAAATGATCCATCACTTAACGGCTTAAATTTCACTAGTTTTTTTTACTTTTTATGATAGTGATACGCATTCTGATGTACATGCTATCTCCCACCAACACAGGCACTCGAAAACTCTCCTCACCAAAGCTTAGGCAGATGGGAAGAAGTCACCTAGTGAATTTTGACTCCGCTCGTATTTGAACTTGAGACCTCATGGTTCTCCTCCTACTTCATTGACCTCCAAGCCATACCCTTAGGTTCTAAATTCTACTTGAATTCTAACTTTTTACATGGAAACTTAAGCTAGATGTTAAATGTGACACCATCCTTCTTCTAAAAGTACATGTAGCTCACGTACTGTTTCTCGTTATTCTTGTTGGTAAGGAAATATTTTGTGATCCATACTTTGGCGAAAGAAGATAAATAAACATGTGTNTTGACATCAAAAAATCTAACATGATAAAGCTGATAAAAGGGTAATCAGTATGTGACGTGTTTGTAATATTTAAGAAGAGGTGGTCACGCACTCAACACAATGCTAACATAGGGAGAAGTCTCAGTTTTGAATCTTACTACCACCCATTTACGCATGGAACTTCCACATGTTAGACTTAAGGAAAAGAATGAGACCCATACGGAAAGAGGCGTGTCAGGAAGTACTTAAATAAATGTGTCCCAATTCTAACTACTATGTTTTAATGAGGTGAAACAATTCAACAACATTAAATACTATTTAGAAGCTTTACAAAGACAATAAGAATCTCAAAATACTGCAGAATAATCTAATCTTTTTGTGTATGTGCAACAAAGAGCCTCTGCCCATGTACAATAAAGTGTGAAAAGTTTACTTGCCTGAAGAAGGTTGCATCATCTTCAGAAGGCGATATCCAAGACCATATGACGTCCAGCAAACTTGGTATGTCTCCTAACATAAGGTTCATCTGCTCATTTTTGGACCATAGAAACTATAATACTTTTAAGATGAAACTGGTACTCAGCTAATGCACGCTCCCTTCCTCGCAGGAAAGATGTAGTAACTTGGAATGGGACCAAGGAGACGGACAGGATGAAAGACACTCTACTCAAAGTTATCACCTACCCAAGTAACTATATACAGAACTAAAATAAAAAGGGCAGCCCGGTGCACGAAGTATCCCGCATTCACGCAGGGTCCGAGAAAGGAACGCACCCAAGGGATATGATGTAGGCAACCTACCTCAATGCAAGTATAAATAGATGATTCCACCGCTCGTAACCCGTGACCTATAGGTAACATAGAGACAACTTTACCATGGTACCAACGCTCCCATTCTATATGCAAAAATGTTACGGCAAAGAAAATGGAAGGAACCAGGCTTATCTGAGAGTGACACAAGACGAAGTGAGGGAGAGATCTGAAATGCCAGATTTTATGGTGGACAAAGCTGTGGGCTGAGCTGCTGCATTACACAAACATACATTTGATACATATGCGTGGGTAAAGTCGTGAGAGGACTAACACCAAATATGATATCCATGGATGTGGAAGGTAGCACCCAACGGTAGCCTATTTCTCCTTCTAAAGCATCATTCAAAATTAATTAAATCATAAGACAAGACAGGCACACTTTCACAGACAGTGCTTCTTTGACATTCAATTCAGCAGACTTAAACAGCTTATGGAACACCACAGAGTATTTAATAAAAACGTATTGTGGCATCTGCAGGCAAAGACTTGCACTTAACATAAATTAGGCTTCTGAAATTAAGTTGTGTGATGCAAATGTTTGTGCATATAGACTCACCACGTTTAAAATATCTGGTAAGATGTCTCTCATCATTTTTTTTGTGTGTAAGGAAGGGGGGGGGGGGGTGTAGTTGTACTAAATTGTCAATAGATCAAATGGACTAAAATAATTAGAGACTAACACAGATTACTCTTCTAAAGAAAAAGTAAAAAGGTTGAGAAGCGATACAAGAACATGAGCCTATACCTCAATTTGTCTCTGCTGCTCCTTGCACGATCGAGCAACAATTTCATGCACCGTATCACTAGATTACAGAGAATTTTAATTTATTTTAAATAAGGAAGTAAATGGCAACAACATCAACATGTGATATAGACAACAAAGCAATAAGAACACCGTGAAGTATCATTAAAACCAAATAAGGAACACAAAGGAAAACCAATTAATCACGCCGTTCTAACACAAGTTTCACAACGAAATCACTCCGTGATACCTCATATCATAGTCACAAGTTCCGGGTCTAAACCCACCATCATATACACGGCACCTTGTGCCCACATCTTGAATCACAACCACATGGATAACTCATGTACCAAAATCACAATTCGCCCAGCATAGTCACAGTCTCACAGTCACAATCCGCCCGACATAGTCTCACAATCCTTCCGGCATAGTCACAGGCTCACAATCACAATCCGTCCGGCATGATCACAGGCTCTCAATCACAATCCGTCCGGCATAATCACAGGCTCAATAGCAACATGAAAACGGATAATACAAGAATACATGGGCATCATTAATAAATGTCAAGTTTCATACTCTTAGACTAGCATAAGTGGCATGCTACGATGTATGCTTGTGCAAGTGTACTACTGCAGCCTAAGTCAACACGTAATATCAAACACATCGAATAACTCATCGAAACAACAAAAATTCTTGAACAGAACAAGTGTGAAAATAACGTGTGTTATTAGAATCAGTACTGAAATAATCACTATTATTTTTGGTCCCACGAGTTTACTACATTACGCCAATTTGCAATTCCATCCAAAATAATAGGGTCAGAAAATTTCAAATATCCAAATTCCAATTTCAAATTTTGATGTAGCTGTATAATTTCAGAAAATAGATGAAAGATTTTGTACCTAGATTTGGTTGTGTTTTCTAAATACGGATAATTTTCTCAATATTAGATTCGATTACACTAGCTTTTATTTATTTTCTCTCGCGTATGTTGATTTCAAAGCCGTAAGAATGATGATAGAAAAAATAAAAGACAACAAAGATGAATCAAGAATAATGCACATTTCATTCCTGTGGCAGTATCCTATTCTTCTGAGAGGTTAGCTGAGATCTATATTCGAGAGATTGTTCGACTTCATGGTGTGCCCGTGTCTATCATTTCTGACCGAGGTACGCAGTTTACCTCGCATTTCTGGAGAGTAGTTCAGCGTGAGTTGGGCACACAGGTTGAGTTGAGCACAACATTTCATCCTCAGACGGAGTGGAGTTAATGATCAAATGCCAATTGCTAAATTGAAAATCTGCATGCCTCCACAAAATGGGATTAAGAAACATCCCTCCAGGTGTGTTGTAACATTGAGAGACAACATATTAGCTTTTCTGCTTCGTTTTTGCTCCTCTTGCTTCTTCGCGACTCTCTTTTCTTCTCTTCCTCCTTGGCTGCTCCATTTGTTATTATCCATGAAGTGTTGTATGTAGGTAACTTCTTTCACTTTGAATTATCATCAAAACTTTTGGGTGAAATTATCATCAAAATCATTTGGATTTTAACCTAATTTTTGAAATTGAAATTTTAAGAACTTTGATTTCATAGATGTACCACACAATTGAGAGTGTTGAAGTTCACAGAAGAATCCGAAACCTCTTGGCAAGAAGAGATCAGATTCCGACATAATCGCCGGTATAATATCTTTCAATTTTCTTTATTTTTCATATATATCTGGTTTCTTCTCTTTGCAAGTACTGATTACTTGCAAATTTGAGTTTTTTTTTTTTTTTTTTTTTTTTTTGCCTTCTTTGGTAGTTTACGAATTTTGATATTTGCTTGAGAAAAAATGACTTGGAGAAAGACGAACACGGAAAATTAGGAATTTCGATGTTTGTTTGGTGCAGTTTCAGGTGTAATTTCAAATCTCTCCTCTTTATGCAATTTGTCTGTTATAACCCTCAATTGTAGTTCTCACCTCTTTATTCATACATGTTGCCACCTCTTTACGAAGAGCATATTGCATCTGGCTTCCTTCTCTTACCTCTTTATCTTACCTTAAACCTCTATAGATAAATTACGTCTTTCTTCTCCAACTCAGATCCTCTATAATTTTTTTCAAATGGTTCAATATCAGCCTCCTTGATCTGCAAAAAATATGTAAGGATTTCTCCAATTTTTTCAATGTTAAACGTATCTAATACTCAATTAATATAGACTTGGGTAATTGCTTTACTTGTTACCTTTAGAGATGATGTATAGCTATTAAGCTCCTTCATGTATCCAACTACATCTTCTGTTGCATATGTCTTCAACTCGCTAATAGGTATGCATTAGATGCAAACACAATATATAGATGTAATGAAGAATCGGTTTTTTTTTTTTTATCTAATCTATATCCTTTAGAAGCTGAACCACCAAACAGTACAATAGTTTTTGTAAAAGAGTGACACTCTGAAATATATTATGGTTAAAACAAACTATTTTTGTGGTTTCATTGAAAAAGCGAGCAACTTCAGGTGGCAACATGTATGAATATGTTAATAATGTTTTAAAGTAATTACAAAAGTATAGAATTATAACCAATTTTGGTGTAGTAACCAAGAAACCTATTAAAAAGGATTTATAACACTAAATTAAACCTTAATATCACATGATGAATTTAATAACCGCACTTGATAATAAAATGCTAAAATTACGAAAAACCAATCAATTGCTAGCTATGACCCAAAAAGGACAGAAGAGAAGTGATTACTTGTATCACAAACTAATTAAAACACATATTGCTGAGTGAAGTACACTCCTTGGTGAAAAAGAATGTTCTGCAAAAAGAAGAGGGAGGATAATCGGACAAAGACATCTTATTGTACACTTCTACAGATTGTTGTGACGAATGCGAAAAGGTTGTGCAAAAAATAAATTATTTGCGGGAAAGATGAGAGAAACACACAATCAGTAATAACTAAAAAAAATTTTACATTGCTATAAATAAAGAATGTAAAAGGGCAGTACAAAGAGATTACCACGGAAACTGAAAGAACCAAAATATAAAGAGTGAAAAACTACAGGTAATAACTAAAGAAATTTACACGCCTAATTCCTTCCTGCATCATCACGAGATGTTTGTGTTCCTTCTCTGTCTGTCTCATCAAATTCTCTATAATTGTCTTCTTAGATATCATATTTATTTTGTTTTTCGCCTTCTAATTATGAAAATAAATTTTAGAAAAACCCTAAATATGAAAACATCTCTGTCTAAACATCTTCCATGATAATTATGATGGAGATACGTTTTTTGGGAGTAACCGAAGGAATACTTTTTTGGGGAGTACTTGATGACAATATGAATGCCCTCAACCTAATTAAGGTCATTGAATTGATTATCTGAAGCATTAAACTACTGCTCTGATTCACTCGCTTAACTTCTAAAGTAATTAAAATATTAATTAATTGAAGGTTTATTATTTTTCATTAGAGACAATGGTAGTTCTGATTTTAAAGGGTATTATTGTAATCTGACTTTGAAGGTAGGAGCTTCCTACTTTTAGTATAAATTAGAAAACAATTTGTCACGACCCGGATTTCCCACCCTCGGAAGTCGTGATGGCACCTACCAATGGGAGCTAGGCAAGACAAATTTAATTATTTGTCCATTAATAATCTAGTCCATTTTAACAATTTACGACGATAATACAAAAGCAACGAAATTCGATAATGAGCGGAAGTCTTAACATTTTATAAAAACTGAATAGAAATGCGGAAAGTTCAACAAAATCCTCTACCCAAGACTGGTGTCACTGTACTCACGAACTGCTAAGAATACTACATACAATTCTGAAAGAGAACATAAGCTGTTTGTCTCGAATACAATGAGATAACAGATAAAAATAAAGGATAAAGGAGACGACGGGCCTGCGGACGCCTGCAAGGCTACCTCGGGTCTCACTAAAATGAAGCCTGCTCTCGCACTACGGCTGCTGCTGCTAGATACCTAGACCTGTGCAAAATAGCATAGAGTGTAGTATCAGCACAACCGACCCCATGTGCTGGTAAGTGTCTAGCCTAACCCCGGCGAAGTAGTGACGAGGCTAGACTGGACCACCACATAAACCTGTGCAGTTATATACATACAGCGGAATCGAAATACAAGACAAGTAGACAATATGGGAGGGGAAACATGTTGTGGGGAGATAACAGGATTAACAGTAAATCCAGAGTAACAGTCTAAAGGCAACTTAGAATTTACAGCGGACAAGAGACTAATATCCAAAATAAACACACTTGTATCAATAATTGTTGCGGCGCACAACCCGATCCCAATATATAACAACATTGTTGCGGCGTGCAACCTGATTCATATCGTTTAGCATTGTTGCGGCGTGCAACCCGACCCACAAATATCATTCAATGCACGACATCACCCTTCGTGCTTTAACACTCTTCCTCACCCAATCAACAAATCACAAACAAGGGCAAGGGAATAATAAAACAAGGATGGAAGTCCCTTCAAGGGTACACAAACAACCAAATAAAAACCCGGCAAGGGTACAACATCAATAACCAACAACGTCCAGGCAAGGGAATAAATCATTAACTCTTCTCTATCTTTCACTTTCATCTCAAAGTTCACATTATCACTTGAGCCAATGCTCCAAGAAGTTACTTAGCTCATATACCTTCACAATTTGTATTTCAACCCGTGCCAATGCTCCACGAAGTTCAAAGATCACAATCTCTTTCACAAGATCTTTACAACATATAGAAGTCATCATTTAAGCATGGAAGGCATAACAACAACCAATCCATTCGCAAAATAAGGACTCACGGTCATGCTAGACACCAATGTATAGATACTCGTCACCATGTCTATACATCGTACACAACAAGAAGCAATTAGCAAATAAGACTCAACTCCTAGTCCCTCAAGCTAGGGTTAAACCAAACACTTACCTCAAACTTCCACGGCCAATGCAATCCTCAATAACCGCCTTTCCCCTCGAATTCGGCTCCAAATCAATCGTATCTATACAATAATGACTTCAATACATCAATAAATGCTAAACAACACGAACCCAATACCTAGTTATAGCTTTTTCATCATTTTTCCCCAAAAGGTCAAAAATGCCCCCGGGCCCACATGGTCAAAACCCGAGTTTCGAACCAAAACCCCTTTACCTATTCCCCCACGAACTCAAATATATAAATTAAAAATCAGACCTCAAATTGAGGTCCAACTCCCCAATTTTAGAAAAACCTAGGTTCTACCCAAAATTCCCAAATTTCCCCATTAACATCTTTGTTTTGAAGTTGAAATTATGTTAAAAGATGTTAAGGAGTGAATAAAATGAGTTAGAAATCACTTACCAATCGTTTTGAAGAAGAAGAATTGTTTGGAAAATCGCCTCTTATGTTTTGGATTTTTGAAAAGTGAAAAAATAACTGAAATTCCCGTCTATATATACCCCTCTGAAGTCCCAGCGCGGACCGTGCAAAAAGGGACCGCGGCCGCGCACCTACCGCGGACCGCGCAAAGGCGACCGCGGCCGCACGCGATTTCTCGCGAACCGCGATTTCAGAGGCCTGCAATATTTCCTGAACTTGCAACAGCTTGTATTTTAAGTCTAAGGCATCCCGGAACCTACTCAAAACTCACTCGAGCCCTCGGGGCTCCAAACCAAACATACACACCACCTCAAAACCATCATACGGACTTACCTGTGCGATCAAATCGCCAAAATAACATCATGAACATCAAATTAGGCCTCAAAACCCATGATTTCTTCCAAATTTCATAAAACATCAGATTATCCATTTCAAGTCCGAAACACGTCAAACAACGTCCGTTTTAAACCAAATTTTACAGAAAGCGCTTAAACCACATATAAGACTTGTACCGGGCGCCGGAACCAAAATACGGGCCCGATACCACAGTCTTTTAATCAAATTTCATTTTCATTTTCATTTTCCTTAATCATTTCCAGAAAACAATTTCACACAAAAATTCATTTCTCGGGCTTGGGACCTCGGAATTCGATTTCGGGCATATGCCCAAGTCCCATATTTTCCTACGGACCCTCCGGGACAGTCAAATTACGGGTCTGGGTCCGTTTATCCAAAATGTTGACCGAAGTCAAATTTATTCAATTTAATATCAAAATTTAGCATTTTTCTCACAGAATTCATATTTAAGCTTTCAGGCTACACGCTCGGATTGCGCACGCAAATCGAGGCAACCCCAAATGAGATTTTCAAGGCCTCGGAAGTACGGAATGAATAAGAAAATAGGTAATGACCCTTTGGGTCGTCACATTCTCCACCTCTAAAACAATTATTCGTCCTCGAACGGACAAAAGAAAGAAGTACCTGAGTCGGGGAAAAGACGAGGATAACGACTCCGCATGTCAGACTCGGACTCCCAGGTCGATGCCTCAGGAGGCTGACCTCTCCACTGAACACGAACAGAAGGAAAACTCTTGGATCTCAACTGACGAACCTGCCGGTCCAGAATAGCTACCGGCTCCTCTTCATAAGACAAGTCCTTGTCCAACTGGACAGTACTGAAGTCTAACACATGGGCTGGATCGCCGTGATACCTCCGAAGCATGGATACATGAAAAACTGGATGCACGGCTGATAAGCTGGGCGGCAATGCAAGTCTATAAGCCACCTCTCCCACTCGGTCGAGAACCTCAAACGGACCAATGAACCTTGGGCTAAGCTTTCCCTTCTTCCCAAATCTCATCACGCCCTTCATAGGCGACACTCGGAGCAATACCCGCTCACCCACCATGAATGCCACATCTCGAACCTTGCGGTCTGCGTAACTCTTTTGCCTAGACTGAGCTGAACGAAGCCTATCCTGAACGATCTTGACCTTGTCCAAGGCCTCCTGAACCAAATCTGTACCCAACAACCGAGCCTCTCTCGGCTCAAACCATCCAACCGGAGACCGACACCGCCTACCATATAAAGCCTCATAAGGAGCCATCTGGATGCTCGACTGGTAGCTGTTGTTGTAGGCAAACTCCGCTAAAGGCAAGAACTGATCCCACGAACCTCCAAAGTCAATAACACAAGCTCGAAGCATATCCTCTAGAATCTGAATAGTCTGCTCGGACTGACCGTCCGTCT